TCTTTCCCTCTTAGACTGTGACTCACCATAACACTCCAAAAGGTCCAGCTCTTCTCGAGGCATGGCTAAGGCTGAGATCCATCGAAGCTTTTCACTTCTGAGAAAGCAAAGCAGTATCATAGCTTCAGCTGCAGGGAAGGATCTGTCTAGTTCAGAAAGCTGTCTAGTTTAATGATTCTATGACAAATGTCAATAAAACTCTGCTTGGTCGGAAAGACGACAGTCTGGAACTATATGTTAATGAGCTTTGTAACCCTTTATTTTAACCCTTCTTGCTCCAAGATTAGCTTCCAATGGTCTCTCCCATCTTCCAAGTGGAGGCACAAAGTCAACTGTCAATTAGACACATGAAGATTTTTCCATTTGGGAAGTTGTACCCCAAACTTCACCTCGGTTCAGATTTCTCCACCAATTTGCATGATTATTGACCCTGCCTCGCCCGTCTTCCTTCAATCAGATATCTCAGTGATCATAATTACTCTGTGATAATAACTAGAACAGGGAGATACAGCTATGATTTTGTTGTTGTTGTATACAAGGTAATCCCAGCCTAATTTTGTAGTTACTAGAAGTTTTTCCATGATCCAGCCTCTGCTTCCAAAGGCACCTGGGTAATTGGAAGCTGACGCTATCACCATTCCAGGAAGAGGCTGCCCGAAGAGCTACACGCGGCATCTGGTTTTTTGACTTTTTTGCATACAAACCACTGAACCAGCCCCTCTGTTTCATAAGTGAGGACAGGCATTTATGGATCCCACCTGGAAATATCTTCTGAGGGCCAGAACTGGAAAGTGTCTACACCATGGGGATCCTTAGATCCTAAGATCTGTCAAGGTTTTTAAAGAGAGACCCTTTTCATATCTTTCTAACAGCAACGAGGACTAATGCTTTTAAGATGCTCATTGTTGTAGTCATTGTGCACTAGATTTTCCAGTACTATTATTAATTCCTTCCAAAGTGCAGGGATGTATAAATGTATTTGCTGTGATTATCATGGTAAAGATGAGCAAATCAAAGTTCCTGACGCAATAGATTTCTGCTCAGCCGGTGGCTAAGATGGGAGTTAGGAACGTGGAACACAGAAAGGACCTCATGCTTGTCTGATTCACCTATATGCCCACCAGACTTGGGCACTCACAGATTTCTGTCTTGTGAACATGGAAAATCACTCACTCAAATCAGTATTTCGATCCTTTGCTCATTCCATACAAGTCCATCTCCTTTCCGGTGTCTCACAGGCCTTATCCTCTTTGAGTAAAGGGTATAAAATAGGTGCTAAGTCTTGGTGCACTCAGACTTTCTCCCACCCACAGCCTCCTGCAAGTTGTCTATTATCTCGAGGGGTTTTGGTTTCTCTATGGATGCTCCCTAGTCCAGAATAGGCAAAGTGGTGCTATAGCTGTTTTCTGGATGCCTTTTCTGCCTCAGTCCCACTTCTTTTTTTTTTTTCCCCCCACAGGTCATACATCTTTAATGTAGTGCATTCGTAGAAAAAAGGAGAGCTTTCACTCCCAGGTGTGCTCGCGTCCTCAGCCTCAGTCCCACTTCTGTCTCAGGATGCCCACCTTGGCTCTTCTGCCCAGCCCCAACTCACTGAGTCTCAGTGCTGAAGAGGAACTCAGCCTGGGTGCCCTGTGCGTTTTGCCGCAGGAAGAGTCGGAAGAGGTTTTTGTGAGGTCCGTGTAGCTTCATTTCACACTTTTCCCCACGGATGGAGGAGAAAGGAGCATGGTCAAATACCAGGAAGCGGTTACCCCTGCAAAATACAAGTCTTTTCAACCTGATTCTAGAGAGTCCCCATATCTTATCCATCCTCATATCCTTGGATTCAAAATCCTTGTCCTTAGCATCTGCAGCTTGCAAATTATCATAAAAATCATGAGATAGTCCTAGCTTGCCTCCAAGAAGGTAGCTCCAGAGTCCTGACAGATTTATCACCAATTTGGCAAGCCATATAGCCAGTGCAATGGATACTTTTTCATCATGAAGTGTTAAAGAGGCAGAACCAAGACTAATATTCTAAGGTCTTTAGGACCAGAGTTAAGATCTGAAATCAGTTAAGTATGCTTAGGCTAGGAGGATGAGCCCAGTCCAAAGAACCCATAAATAAACCAAATTGGGAATGTATTAAGGTAATTTGCTGCATTTTGCTCTGTGTCTGTAACAGCACAGGTCCTGCTGTTATGTGATCTCATTATATAGTTTGGTGGACTTCCTTCTTTTGGCTTTTCCCTCATCTCTAGGATATAGCCTGGGCTCTATGGGTTGAACCATTGAGAAGGTTTCCTTTATGAACATGACCCTTCTCTGTCCCTTTCGACCTTCCCTCTTGACCCAGCCCATTCCCTTCTTTTGCTCTGGTCTCCCATCCAGATTACTGACTCTCGGGGCCGGGACAGCAGCAGACAGTCATTGAAGAGGTGCAGGTGGACAGGACGTGTATTCAGTTTCCTTCGCAGTCCTGGGGAGACGCTGAACTCAAGGGCTGTCAGCTCCCCACTCTTCACCAGCCAGCGTGATTGTGAAATGAGCGGAAATATCTATTGGGTGAGGGAGGAAAGAGAAGGCAATGTCACAGACAGAATAAACGTGAGGCTTCCTCTCAGTCCCACCCTCCTTACCATGCCACTTCTGTACAAGTTCAACCAAGGACCATCATCTCTTTCTCATCTTCCCTCTTACTCATAACTCATCCATTTAGATTTTATTTCTCTCTAATGATCAATACGCCAATGACCTCTATCTTCTGGTGTGTGGTGGCCATGTTTACATGTTTAGGCAAATTGAAGGTGCCTATGGTCCAACCCAGGGCAGTGACTAATTCTTCCTAGAAGCCTAAACTGAAGGAGAGATGGAAGAGCCCAATTAGGACAGGTAAAGAAATAACGAACCAGCAGGTGGCATGAAGGTTAAAGCAGCTGTATCTCACATGGTGTGTGGTTTGAGTCTTAGACCTGGAAGCTTGAATATTATGCTTGGTGTGTGCTAGTGTATCCAAAATCCCAAGAAGAGAATGGAGAAGGGACTACGGCATGGCCATCCCCTGTGGGGTGATTTCTCATCTTCTCCCATCTCTCTCCAGTGAGCACATACGCCCTACAGCAAAACTATAAAGAAAACAAATTTAAAAACTCAGAGAAACAAACACAAAATACATGGCAGAGAACAGTATGATGTGTCTTAGAAATGAGAAGATTAGAACAATTATGGCTTCTGTTCTCTTTGGTTATGACCACAGACATTAAGAAAAGCAATTGGAATCAGCTGTGAGGGTGAAAATAAGAAGCTGGTGGGCTTTGTAGAAGTTGGTGGGCTTGCGGGGAGCTGAAGATTAGGTAAAGATGAGGGTATTGAACTATGATTAGAATGTGGATAAGGATTTTCCTTTTCCTTCAGGGAGGTAAAGATGGTATCTATTCTGAGTTGGAATTGGAATGTGGAATGCTTTAGATTTATGTTTGGATAGGAGATTTTGGCCCTATGATTTGGAACCAATTTTATGTTGCTTCATCTATGAGACCTGATCAAATAACTGATGATTCAAGGACAAAAAAATTTTTTTACAAAAATTTTGCCAGAAGATGTGTATGTTCACTAAAGTGAGAGAGCAAGAGAGAGGGAGAAATAAAATAAAGTGAGAAAGCCACCCCACCCACCTAGTGTTAATGCTTATGCTGCAACCCCTTCTCCTCTAGTTCTCATTCCTTTCAAAACTTTGGACATGTACAGGCATGCACACAGCATGCTTTTTAACCCACAGGGCCTAGGGCTTGAACTGCGTGGTCAGTCATGAGATTCAGCTGCCCCAACCACTATGTTACTGGCTGACCCCCAAAAATATTTTTTTTTGAAAGTTTTTGCTATAGGGCATATATGCCCATCAAAAAGACAGAGACAGAGAGACAGAAAGCGAGAAATCACCCCCCAGGGGGATGACCACACCGCAATCCCTTCTCCTCCATTCTCCTCTCGGGATCTTGGAGATGCATGCACATGTGCCTGGGGTGTTTAAGCCACTGGGTCCGGGACTCGAACCAGGGTTGACTACATGGGAGTCCAGTGATATAGCCATTTTTATAAAGGTGTTTACTGAAAAGTTCTCCCTCATACTTTCCTCATCTGTCCATTTCCCAAACATACTCCTACCCCTACTTCAGGTAATCACTTCTTTCTCTCTTTTTTTTTTTTTTCCTATTACCCTTTCTGCATTTCTTTCGGCACACACAACCAGATACATACAGAGATCTGTTTCCTTCTGTTTACACCAGTGATAACAGGATGTACACATAGTTCCATGTTTTCTTATTTTCTTTTTCTTTGCTTTTCTTTTTTTTTAAATAGGTTTTTGCTATAGGGTGTGTGTGCTTGCGAGGGAGAGAGAGAAAGAGAGAGAGAGAGAGAAGCAAAGAGACAGTGAGAGGGAAAGTGAGAAATCACTCCCTAGGAGAGATGGTCATGCCACAGGCCCTCCTCTATTTTCATCCCGGGACCTTGGGTACACATGTATATGTGCCTGGCATGATTTTTAAGTCACCGGGTCCAGGACTGCAACAGTGGTCAGACATGTGGGAGTCCATTGACATAACCACTATGCCATCTGCTGGTCCCAACCTTGCCATTTTCACCTAACATCTTATTGCTTTCCAATTCACTTACTACACTGGAAACTGAGGCAGAAACCCCAGAACTAGGACAGAGTGGCAGATAAGTAGAAGTGAGGATAAGACTGGGAATAGCATGAGCAGGATGCTCTCCATCAGAGGGTGATATGAGGGACATGCGAGGGAGACTCGCAGGCAGGATGGGGTATAAGGGACCTGCTCACTTTGCACTCAAACTCAATCTTCTGGCTCAGGTAGATAAGCTCCTCCGTCCGTCGCATTCTCTGGACGTTGTTGTTGCAGTCTCGGATCAGCTGAGATGGAGCAGAGTGAGGGAGGAGGAAAGGCACTGTGTTAGAGGCTTAGACTTTGGAGTCCCCTGTGAGAAATCTGGAAATAGTTGTGACAGTCTCATCTCACACTTTTCTACCAGGCAGGAATCGAGTGAAGCCAGAATCAAGTTGAGGACCTTGGAGGTGGGGTACTTTGCACAACCTGACAGGATGCTCTCCGGCTGAGTGAAGGCAAGATTTCATGTGGAACTGTGGTCATGAGAGAAGAGCCCCTGGACACGGAGCGTGCTCAGTGAAGGAGGGGTTGGGGTGGAGTTGTGAACCTGGTGGATGTGGTGAGGGGGCTACGTTCTCCCATTACAAGGCTCCACCTCCCTTGAGCTTTGGGGTCAGAAAGACTTCTCTGTGGAAGACAATCAGAGGGTCAGAGTGGAGGTGGTGCCTACCTCCTCCAGGGCATGATGTGCCTTTGTGGCTTCTGCTTCCTCTGAGGATCCAGGCTGTGTTCTCTTCAGAATGTTCTATAAGACAGATAGTAGGCAAAAGCCACATGTGAGGAAGGCACGGGAAAGCAGAAAGAAACAATTGGAGGATAGCAAGTGGAGAAGCCCAGGGACAAAATTTAGCAGCAAATATGCCTGAGAAAGAAGGGTGCAGGCAGTGAGCAAACTGCTCACATCGTTCCTAGGAGAAGCAGGGCAGAGGCACGATGGTTGTTTGCCGTGCAGTTTCCTGAGATTACCCTGTAGTTAAGGGGACAGGACCAACGTAGAATCTGTTGTACCTGAAGCAACAGTTTGAGACGGGTGATGCGCTGGAAGGGCAGAATCAGAAAGGACTTGAGGGAAAGGCGTTGGCAGATGGGGTCACTCTCCAGCTTGTCCAGGACCTCTCGGAAACTGCCATTGCTATTCCTATGAGAGCGGGGGAGGCTTGGATGAGCAGGGATAGGGAGAGGAATGGGGACTCAATGAAGGCATGGATAATGGAAGCTCAGGGGAGTATCTGTGGGTTGAGGGAAGGTGGGAACTGATATCTATGGTGCCCAGATGTGGTCACTGAAGGGGTCCGATGTTGGGGTTTGTTATCACAAAGAGGGCACAAGAACAGGTGCTCTGGGATAGCTCTAGCTGAGGTTGGTGTACGGTCACTGCAGGGCCCACATGGGGATTGAATGGGGGTATGTCTCACAGTAGGCTTTGGAAGGTGCGTTCCTGGTAGGTCTGGTTGGTGACATAAGGCAGGTAGACCCGGCGGAATTCCGGGGCATGGTTCAGGACTACATCACATACTTGGAAGGAGAAGATATTGTTCTCGAAGTTCTCTTCCAGGTCTGAAAGGAACCTGTATAGTATTTAAACAAGTCTCATGAGATTTATGAGCCTCAACTAAATAGCTGGCTGAAACTTGGTCTGTTTGAGCTTGTGACTTCACTCGTCACCAACTTCAATGTACTCTCCCTGTGTGTTCTGGACTCTTGCTGTGCACTAGTATTCTCCCCAAGGCTGCCCTTGTTTGCCCTGATCTTCTTCTTTGACCCTAATATTCCAATTTTTTGTTCTTTTCATTCTGTTCTGGTTTTTGATCTTTAGATGGCTTCTATATCTCACCTCTAATGCAGTGTATGCTTACATGCATCAAAAACCTCACCCCAGAAAGCATATCTCATTCATTTATTTATCCATTAATGGATCTGTCAACCCACACACTTTCTCCTCTTCTTTGTTCTTCCTATCCTATACCCATCAGGAATCATGGAGCATGCTGAGGCCCAATTTCATTTGTCACTATGGCAATGACAAGGTTTTTAAGAAAGAAGAAACCAACTAAAGGCTAAAGGCTAATGATTGTGAGGCTGAGTGAGTGACATTTGGTGAAGGGGAGTCTCACGTGGTGCTGACGTCTCGTACATCCTGTAAACGAGAGAAGAGCCACTGGTGCTCCTGGTTGGAAAGGGTGGCCCGGAGTTGGGATGAATGTTGGAAATGATCCACGGCTATGTGTAGACTGCGCAGGTAAGAGGCCTCTGAGACGATCAGTTCGAATTTGGCCTAGGAGTTTGAAAGAGGAGGAAGATTAACGAAGAACGTCTACTGACTCCCTGGTATGTGCCAGCCACTGTGTAATGCTTCAGGGGTAGAGAAGTTAACAAGATAGATCCTTTACAGCTCATGGTCACCCCAGAAGCTAACTTGATCTGAGCGAGAGGGAAGGAAATTTTATAAGATTTCATCTAGGGCTCAGGGAACATATGTAGGTAGGCCCCCAAAAGTATAAAAGAAAAATATACATTTTCAGAAAAACTAAATAACAAAAACAGAAAACCTAAATAATAAAAACAAAACAAAAAAGGTCAATATGTGAGATGATGAATATATTAATAAGCTTCTCTATTGTAACCATTTTACTATCTCTGTGTCCTATATCATGCTATTTACCTTTTTTTAAAAAGGAATTATTTATTTATTTTTATTTAATTCCATTTGTTTATATTATTATTATTATTTTAAATTTTGACCAGACAGAACCAAAGAGAGAGAGAGAGCGAGAGTGAGAGCGAGAGAGAGAAAGAAAGGGTAAGCGAGAAAGCAATCAGCCAGGTCCAGACTTGAACCTCAGTCAGCCATGTGGAAATCCATCGCCCTTAACCACCATGACACCGGCCCTCATGCTATATACCTTTATTTTTTAAGAATTATTTTATTTAACTTTATTTATCTATCTATTTTTTACAATTTAACCAGAGAGGGATAGAGAGAGAAATTGAGAATGCAAGCTGCCAGGTCTGGGACTTCAAGCCATGTGGGAGTCCAGCATCCTTAATCACCATGCCACCTGCAGGCACCCAGTGCTATATACCTTAATATATATACAATAAAATCAATTTTTACACTATTTTAAAAATTTATTTATTTAATTTTATTATATTACTTTTAAATTTTCTAAGGAGTAAGTGCACTCACCAGAGAGAGAAAAAGAGAGAGACAGAGAGACAGAGAGAAAGTGAGAAAGAGAGAGAAAGTGAGAACACCAGCCACCAGGTCCATGACTCAAATAGCAGTTGACCATGTGGGAGAAGAGAGTCTTATTCACCATGCCACCTGCTGGCTCCATAAAGTCTATTTTTACGAAAACTAAACAAAGAAACAGCAGATGGCATAATAGTAACGTCACTGGACTCCCATGTAATTGACTGTGGTTCGAGTCCCAGACATGGTGGCTTAAAACTCATATTGGGTGCATGTGCAAGAGGGCCCAAGATCCCAAGAGAAGAATGGAAGAGAAGGGGATTGTGGCATGGCCATCCCCCCTGGGGGGGAAAGGGTAATTTCTTGCTTTCTGTCTCTCTGCTGAGTGCATGCACCCTATAGCAAAAATATCTCTAAAACAAACAAATAAATAAATTGAGCATTTGGGGAATCAAGTGTACAAACATAGTGAAAAGAGATAAAGCTAGAGAGATGAGAAGCGATGTCTGGGGTTATGGAAACAATGTAAGATAGTTCAGACTAAAGACAGTGAGGCAACCAAAAAACGTTTACTTTGGAGGAATAACTCGATCAGGTGTGTTTTTTCATAGAGATATTCCTTAGCACAGTGTGGACAAATGATTACACAGGACAAGGAAGCCATGTTAGGAAACTTGTAATAGTTCCAGGTGACAGATAAAGGCCTGAATTGCTGTGGGAATAGAAAGAGGTGGAACAATTTCACAATTATTTGGAGGTAGATTTGGGAGAATTTAGTTATTTGCTAGAAATGGGGCTGGGAAGAAGAGGAAGAGTCAAAGCTAATGCCTTGGGTTTTGAGTCGTGTAACTAGGTAAATGACAGGGTCATATACTGAACCCATGAACTTTGAAAGAGGAACGGATTTACAGGATGAAGGTGATGCATCTAGACTGGGGCTTCAGGAAAAATGGGAAGAAGCAGGTTATGTGAGACCAAGATGGCGCAGGCGCTGGAGAACTTGTTTGGAGGCTCCAGCCGGGGGCACACTGACTCGTGGCCGTAACCGGGCTCCTTATGCTTTAATGCAAGCACGTAGCCTATTTAACCTCTTTGCAACTGTTTCCTTGTCTTTATATATAGATATAGTAATTCTCACCTCACAAAGATGTGATAGTAAAAAATGGAATCTATGGAAGCACTCCATTTGATGAAGTAAAAGGTAGGTATAAGATGGAAATACAGAGGGCTCTTTTCTTATGAGCGTGAAACCAAGACTAGAACAAGTGCCCTGGTGGACTGCCTCATATTCTGGGGTCAGAACAAGAGAGTTAGGGTCCAGGTGTTACCTCCTCATTATTTGGTGAGCTTAGGGATTATCTAAATATCTTCCACATGCTTTAAAATATATAAATATATATAGGCAGTTATAAAAGTAATAAATATGGGCAGATCAATGATTTTCTAAATATATTCCACATGCTTTAAAAGTTACAGTTATGGGAACCAGCAGTTGGCGTAATGGCTGGGTTGGTGGACTCCCCCGTAGTCGACCGCGGTTTGCGTCCCGGGCCCGGTGGCTTAAAACTCACGCCGGGCACATGTGCATGCGTGCCCAAGATCCCGAGAGGAGAATGGAGAAGGGATCGCAGGGTGATTTCTCGCTTTCTGTCTCTATGTCTCTCTCTGTCTGTCTGGCGAGCGCACATGCCCTATAGCCAAAAATCCTCTCCAAAACAAAAAAAAAGTTACAGTTAGAATAGAGCCCTAAGTCTGAGCACAGGAAAGTCTAAAAATGTATGTCTCTCCATGTTTGACTTGGTAAAAGCACTGTTTACCCATAAGTCATTCTGATCAAAATATCATTCCTCTCTGCCTCTGAAAGGGGAAAACCTATGGCACTACCATTTATCAAATGATAGCCCAGGAACTATTCAAAATTAGATATGAGATATTTCATTTAAACCACACAGCAATCCTTAAAGGTAGGCATTCTTATCTTCAATTTTTAGATAAGGAAATGGAGATTAGTGAAGTTATATAACTTGCCTAAACTTGCAGTAATAACAAAGTCTTGATTCAAACCCTAGTTAACCCTACTTAACATTGAAATAGTCAATATTTTCTGAGAGACTATTATGTAGCAGGCACTTATATTTTCTGATTCTTGCTGTATCTCTGTATCAGTTTTACAGTGGGAAAATAAAGATTTAGATCAAGTAATCTGGCCTAAGTTAAATAGCAAATATTAAAGTGAGCTTTCTGTTGAGGTAATTTACTCCAGACCTAATTAAACATTACTATATTTCATTATGCCATATTGCCTTCCTGGACCCACAAGTTCTATCCCATGTTATAGAAAGATGAGAGAAACACTCTAGGTAAAAATTATTAATGGTAATAGCTTAAAAACAGACCAACAGTCTCCACTATAGTCTTGTAGTAGATAGGAATAACCAAGCAGGGGCTGATGGTCACTTTAAAGTCTCTATTGGATCAATGTGCACAGGACTCTGTAGGGAGCCCTTTTCAGGGACCCAATGAAAATCCTCTCTATGTGTCTTGGCTGAATAGAAAAATTTCAGCATAGTCTGAATCCCTTGCTGAAGAAGGACATTTGAGTCTACTCTGATGGAGCTAGCTGGGTTTAGCGCCCTACTCCTCCCAACACCGTCAAAGGCAGGGTTATTCTGTACAAACCTAGACAGGAGCAGGTAGGAGTGATGGCCCATGGCATGAGGAGGTAGGGATGACAGACACAGGTGCCATTCATAAAAATAATTCGATTCTTCAGCACGGAGATGACTGGTGGTCATGGTGTGCGTGTGTAATGAGTATGTGGTGGGGACAGCCTATGCTTGGTGGTGGTGATAGATAGAGCAGGAGCTACAGATGGTAGCAAACCAGACCCTGTGGCCTTGATCTCCAGCCCCCCCTCCACCTGCTGGTGGTACCTCTTGCAGCTTTTGGTCTTCATGGGTCATGGACAGCAGCACGGTGCTATTGCGCACCACGGGAATCTCCTGCCAGAGGGAGCCACTGGAGGCCATAGAGAGGCGCTGCAGGTAAGACTCGGAGGAGACCAGGGCCTTTCGAGGCTGGCGTGGAGAGGCAGGCCCAGGGGTCTCGGACAGGCTGTCCAGCCGCTGTTGGCTCTGAATCTCCTTATTTAGAAAGACGTCACTGTACTCCTGGTAGAGCAGCTGGGCTACAGGGTTAAACATCAGGGAGGGGGAGAATTAGAGTCAGGGAAGAGACATGGAGAGACAGGAATGGACAGAAGCTGCCTCCCCTGGTGATTCTGCCTCTCTATGGCCACGGCCAGCCAGAAGTCCCTCCCCAGACTTGGGCAGGATACCCACCTGGGTGGGGAGCTCTGTTTCAAGGTACTCACAGGAATTGATGAGCTTGGAGCAGCGTCTTGAAAAGCCTCCCATCACCTCCCTTGGCTTTTTCTCTCTGTAGGGTAAAGAAGGTCGATGGGGTCTTGTTGGCCATGAGTTACAGAGGACCCACAGGTAACTATCAGTGAGAAAGTCGAACCCCTGGGACGTCTGCTGGTATGTCAGGTCTAAAGCCCCTGGAGAGGAACAGAGTTGCTGCCTGACTTACTCTGGGGTGGTTTGGAAGTCCTGTCGAGTGGACCATTTTTCTCTTTAAGTTTAACAGGGTCTTAGTACCATGATCCGCCCCCTTCAGCCAGCCCTGGATCATGGGCATGAATGTGCCTTACACTCAGGGAGGGCCCCACATATGAGCCAGAACCTTCCCACGTGGGTCAGCCTTGGAAAGCGGTGCACCGTACCACTGTGCCACTGTTTAGCTCCTCATACAGAAATTCCACCTGGGGTTTAGTTCATAGCCAAAGACTTAGGAGGACAGATGACTCAGGAGTGGCTGACAGAACTAGGTACATAAAATAAAATCTTCCTACCCTGAAATCCTGCTGCCTCTCTCTTCTCCTCCCTACCCTGAGAAGAGACAAGCAGGAACCATTCATAGACCCAGAACCCTTATCGACTCAAATCCTAATGAGAAAGTATCAGTGTCCTAAGGGAAGAGAATACAAGTGTGTCTGTCAGGGGAGAGGGTGACTCACCGGAAAACAATAGTGTCAGAGGAGCCAGGGGACCGTTCCGTGGCTGGGCCTCTTGAATCTGAAAATGTAAGTAAGCTGATGTAACAGATTCAGAGGGATATTTAGAGAGAACTGAAGACCCAGAGTGGGAGATGGAGGTGTCTAAAGGAAGGAGAAGAAGATTTTATTGGACTCTGGGAGGGAAGAAAGGGCCAAAACAGAGAGCACTAGTGGGACCCAGTCTTTACTATATCCCAGGAAATGAACCAGTGGGGGATGCCTTCTCTACTACCCAGAAGATCAAGCAGAACTGAACAGTAGGAGGTAATCCAAAATAACCTTTGTAGAAAGGGGTGTACGTTAAAAAGAAGTCCTGGGGAGTGAGTGAAAGAGAAAGGGGGAGGAAAAGCACTTGGTGAGCACAGAGGGGCACATGACATCGGTACTCCAGGGCTTCTCTCTGTGTTGGGGTTATGAAGCAGTAGGAGCCCTGGGGACAGAAGAGGGGCTGAGGTGGCAAGAACTGAGAAGAGCTTGGTCTGACATTAGTGTCCCTGTGGTCCTTGCTCCTTGCTTACCTGAAGAGCCCTCAGGCAAGATGGAAGGTCTGCGCAGGCCTTGCCGGTTCCAGCCCTTGTGCTTGCTGGGCCCCTCATCGGGAGCCATGCCTTGTGTACTGCTGCCCTCAGGTGGTCTCCCCGGTTCCCGCCTATGGGGCCAGCTGGATGCCTTCTCCAGATGGGGATGGCCGGGTTTCTCAGGTTGCTTTGCTCGTCCTACAGCCGACCTCCTTGGGCCATTGACTCCTTCCTGGGGGCCAGTTCTTCTCCAAGATCCTCTTGTAGGGGCTTCAGACTCTTCTAAGAGCCCTGGTTCATCTTTAGGCATAGATTCCTGAAGCTCCAGAGTCCAAGGAGTGGTAGGGGAAGAGGGACTTAGAAGGCTTGTCACGTTGCTGAAAGCCATGCCCGAGGATACTTCCTTCTTACTCCTACCGATGGAAGTCGAAGACTCGGTTGATCTGCCCATGGCTGGGGGCCAGGAAGTACGCCCAGCACAAGGGGGCGTGGAGACTGTCCAGTCTTGACAAATAGGTCTTGGCTTAGCTTGACCCGTTGAATTCATAAGTCCTCCCTGAGTGCTCCTGCTTCTTCCCCTGGACTTTGGGGGTAAGGGAGGTGGTTCAGTAGGAGAGTCCAGGATGGGAACGGGGGGAAGAGGTTTGTAGATCCTTGAGATATTGGAATGAGAAGCAGGGGAGTGGTGGGGCTGGTGCACATCTGGAGTTGGGGGCAATGGCTTGTTGTATCTCTGCCTGGGGGGTAAAGGAACCTGAGTTTGGTTGGAGCTGTCTGGGGTAGATGGCAGAGGTCGATGCTGTCTTGCCACAAGAGGGTCAGGAACTTCAGGAAGTGGGCCTTTAGGGGGACCAAGAAGCCCTGAACCTAGGGCCAATGAAGAAGGATGATTGAACTGCTTTAGCGTGGGGACCACTGTGCGGAGATGGCCATCATGCTCCACTGTGGGGGGGTGGATGTGCCTCTTCTCTAGGGGAGGAGGCAGTGGAGGTTCATGGATCCTCATGTCCATGGGGATGAGGGCTGGGGATCCTGTGGCAAAAGAGGGGTTATGTGGGGAGCCCCACGGCTGGCTGCTGTGAGGACTGCTGGGCCTCCCTGGACTTGAGCTGAGTTCTTGAGAGTCCTGCCCCAGAGTAGATGCAGTAGGACATTCTGAAATGACACTACAGTCCCTATTGCCTCTCCTGGCCCTTCTTGGGATTACAGAGCCATAGATGGTAGGTTTGGGGGGCCTCTGAGGCAACTCGGAATGAGAGAAGGAAAGTGATCTTCCCACCAGGTCCAGAGCCTGCTCTGTCCTATGAGAACCAGGGAAGGAGTTGCTCCTGAGGTGCTGGATGGCGCCTGTGCAGCTGCCTGGGGGCCTGGCAGGGCTGGCCTTGGAGTGGGAGTTGGGGCTTGTGGGGGCTTCTGCAGAGGGAAAGCCACAGAAAGAAGCCGGGAGAGTCTCAGAAACTCCCTGGGGAGACAGGTTGTCAGTTGAGAAAAAGGCTCTGGAGGTTTCTGGAGAATGTGCAGCAAGAGAAGTCTCCTTGCTGACAAAGGTGGTGAGGGGGCTGGCAGAAGATGGGGTGGTTGTGATGGAGATCTCAGCAGCATTGGCAGTAGCTGAACTTGGGGTCCTTGGGGGAGCCACAGATATAGCGGCAAGGTTCACCTCAGTCCCCTGGCCGGGCAATGTCCCCATGTTCAGCTCAGCCCCTTCTTGCTGGCTGTCTTGAGCCATTTTGTTGTCAAGTGACTGCCCAGGGGGAAAGGAGGCAGGTAGAGAAATGGGGTGCTGAGGCCATCCCGGTGGTTCCAATGTAGGAGTCATGGCTATGGGCGACAGGTCCTCAGCCCTGGAGTCTGTCTGCACCCCAGCAGTCTGGGTCATAAAACACGAAGCATCTGGAAACACGTCACCAGGAGACGAAATCTCAGCGGATAACACAACCGGTGTGGAAGGCCCATGGAGCGCTTCTCCCTCTCCCTGTAGCCTGTCATCCCAACTCCTTACCTCTCCGTCTTGCCCCTGCATTGACATCACATACCTCTGTAAGCCCTGATCTTGCTTCCCAGTGACCTTCTCTGAGTCCTCCACTAAGCTTTGATTTTGCATGCACCGAGAGTCTATCCTACTCCCTTCTGGCCCGTGTGACTCTTTCTTCCTCTGCCCCCTGTGCTTTGGATCCTCCTGGCCCGGAGCCCTTCTCACTGACTCCTCTAGTCCCCATTCACTGTAATTCAGACCCTCCAGATCCCCATTGGGTCTGTCTCTTTCTTCTTGTTGTGTAAGCAGCACATCCCCTAGTACCTGCTCCTGCTGTGGGTTCTGTTTTCCATCTTTACCATCAACCTGCTCCACCATCTGCTCTTGCTCCCCACAAATCCCATCAGGACAAATATCCTCCCCTTGCATTCCTTCCTCCTGAAATTCCACTTCCCATTGTTTCTGTGTCTCTATCCCCTGGGCATCCCAAAGATGCAAAAGCCCTTCTCTCCCTGGACTTCCTTGCATGTCCATAGACTGCAGCTCTTTTCCCTGCCTGAAAGATCCACTCTCAGAGTCCTCAGTCTGGCTGGTCTCTACAAGGTGCTCTTCACAGGGAGGCCAAGATCCAATCTGAGCAGAGGGGTCTGGAAAGGTTTCCTCCTTCTCTTCTGCTTGTCCCGATATAAAAGAAGTGAATTGTGGCTGGAATTCCACCTCTGCTCTGCTGTCCGGTTCAATGGATATTGGGATCATGTCAAGACACTTGCCCTGGACCAGGTAGGCCCCAACCTCTTCTGGACCTAGTGTCCTTGATTGTCTTTCTGCTAGGTTCTGGGACATTGTCTCTAGGACATCTGGAGAGTCCCAGGCCTCAGACACAAACCTTTCCCGGTTGATCTCCTTGTCTGCAGAACCTTCTTTGGGGAAAGATGGCATCCTCTCTGCTGCATAGTCATGCACATTGCTTAGCTCTCTCTGCTGGGTCACCAAGGGTCTGCCTCCCTCTGTCCACGTAGAATATAGGTCTTGGTTTTCTTGACCTTCAGATTCCACAGCAGGGATCTGGCTGCTCCTCATGAGAGCCTCAGGGATAATACTGAATTCCACTATAGCAGGGTTGGGAGTGGAGGGTCCATGTTGAGGTTCCTCAGCCTCCATCAGGGCTGAATCCTGTGGAGAAATGAAAGACAATGTGTGGGACAAAGACCTTGTCTTCACAGAATCTGAGTCTTGTTGGGGAAACAGGTAACAAACGTTTAGCATATAAGATGACTGTCAAAGCAGGGCCAAATGCTCCTAGTGGTCATTACCCTCTAGACCATATTATGTCATATTTTGTCTCTCCTTGTCTACTCTCTGGACACCAAGAGTGAGTCACCCTAATATAACTCCCAGACACTGTGCGACACACCCTAGATCTAATAGACAGAGAAGCAGAGCCAGAACAGGGGGAGGGGGAACCTTCTTCCTAAGCTGTTGACAAGGGATAAAAATAGGCCAAGCTATTATAGCCGATGTGCAAGGAGCTATAGTTTCATCTTCTTTATACAGGGGTTGGATTTTACTCATCTTTTTTATTTTTCATGTGTCTAGCAGAGCCTTGTAACTACTGAACAATTATGTTTTCAATTACAGAGGCAACTGCAGGAAAGTGGAATGGTAAGTAGACTAATTAAATTAGTAGTATAGTAGATATACCAGTTACCAACTCCAAGTAGACCCATAAAACTGTTTCCTTCATTACCTTCCTCTCCCCTTCTCTCCAAAAACCACATGAACTCTTCTCACTGCTCAAAATGGTGACCTTCCTGCTTCTCCTCTCACTTCCAGCAGAACACCTCATCTCTTGCTTTGCAAAGAATTTAGAAAGCTATGGATAGGAGCTGCTTCAGTCTCTTGTTAACCAAAGAGACTTGTATCACCACTCTTTTCAT